TTTTTTTTTGCTGCTATGTATTCCATCTAGACTATTTCATGGTTTTGTAAAGAAATGTATATAAATTCCAAATTTTTGGGAAATTCTTATCTTTTATGACAAATTGCTAATATGATTTTAGGTATTAGCTTTATTTATCCTACTGCATAGGAATGATCAAAATGAATGATAACTTTAATAAAGTAGAGCTATGAGGCATGTTTGGTGGTCTGATGCATTTATGCTAAAAATAAAATAAAAAAACTTCAAATATAACCTTTATTGCCACCATATAAGCAGGTAAAAGCACCAACAAGGTTTTCTCCTTCACAGTAGGGAAAAACTGATGGTGGAGGTGCAGAAATCTTTAATACAGACATCGTGAAATTTTGAGGATCAGAAATGTGTAAATGTGATACCTGTGGACAAGAAATTTGCAGGAGAAAAACTGTGGTGTAAAGAAGAAGAAAAAATGCTGGAGAGTTTCTTAAGTCAAAGAAACTACTGTTTATGGGTTCTGGGAAACAGTACAGCCAGATACGAAAAAACTAACAAAAATTAGTAATGAAAGAAAAACTAATTTGTTAACAAAGAGCTGCATTCTCACAATTTCTGTCCTAATCAAATGAAACAGATGATAATGAATGTAAAAGCAGACCATTCCACATCGACGCAGAACAAGGAACGTCATGGAGAACCAGATATGATAGCATGTTTTCAAACAGAAAACCTATTTCAACACATGATGCATCGAGCTCTAAGCTCTGGAGGCGAGTCTCACCTGTGGAGTTGTAACTCTGAAGGACGTCCCTGTGGTAGGGGCAGCAGGTCTCGGGGAGATGTTGTTCTGGGCCTGAGCCTGAGCTTGAGCTTGGGCCAAAGCCTGCTGAGGGACCATCACCAACTGGCCCAGCTCAGTGCGTACGAGCACCATTCCTGCAGGGCGGCAAAGAACAGTCAGAGCTGGAGCCAAATCAGAGCTAGGAGTAAAAACAGAGGTATGCTCTCTCAGACAGTATTGAACATTTCACCCATTATCTAACCCTAAATGGTAGGGGTGTAAATCACATCCATCATGGCGATTCGATTCAGTATCAATTTCCTGACCCAACGATTCGATTATTTTCCATACTCAAGAATACACCATGATTCGATTCGATTCGCTTCGATTAATCGGTTACTCAATCGGTTAATTTTTTTTATTATTAATTATTTTTTTTACACCTTACAGGCTAAACAAAGTTTCAAGTTTGAAATAAATCAATGAAAGCTGTAATATCATTATGCATTTTCTTTAGAAACAACAGCAAATAACTGAAGTAGAAAAGTTGCATCAAAAAATACTGCAAAAATACTCCACAATATCAGTGTAATGAGTTCAATGCAATACCTCGGCTCCAGAGAAACTGTCCAACATATTTTTTTAGAATGTAATAAATATACTCAGGAAAGAGAGATGTTGCGTAGAGAGTTAGACAGGAATAAAAATAAACTAGATATAAGGGAATTGTTTCAAAGGTCATCTGGGGATGTAGTTTTTGGGAGTATTTTTTATTTTCTAAGAAGAACGGGTATTTTAGGGAGAATATAATAGTTTGTCTGGTCCATACTCCATTCTGGAAGGTGGCGGTAATGCACCTATAAGTTGTTTGCCAACCGCCATTAAAAAAAAGAAGAAGAAGAAGGCTCCAGAGTGTCGACGTCACCGCCCCTTGAGAGACGCTCCGCTGCTCCTCTCCCAGATTGTAGCTGACCGCAAACAGTGCAGCAGACAGGAGGCCGGCTTGTTTTGTTTTTATGACCGAAATTGCGGAAAACAACTCGTGAAGTTTGACCCGCTAGAAGAGCGAGGTGCGCGAGAACGCCGGGACCCTTTTTCCAGCTGAATCTCCGCTCTTTTTGGCCCTCACGTCCCTCCGTCGTCGGACTAAACTCTTCCCCACTTCCTCGCTGCCTCGGCCGTATCTAGACCCACAGCGTGTAGCTCAGACCACGCTTCAATATTGAGCATAATTAAAAATGTCTGCATCAAGCTCACTGCGACACACTGCTGCAGGAGTATAACCAGGAAGCGAGGTAGGAGGGTAAAATAGGTTTAGCGCCACCGCAGCACGGGAGGAGAATTACGCCCAGGAGCAAATGGATAAAAATAGACCGGAGGAAAAAAAAAACATGAATCGATTATCTTAAGGACGTGTCGATGCATCGGATCGTCGGCTTTTGGATCGATGCATCGATACAAAATTATTATTATTTACACCCCTACTAAATGGATTGGAGTCTATCTTCAGTAACATTTTTTATTCTTCTACAGAGGAGTGCATTTTGTGTATCCTAGAACCCTTCCACTTTAATTTGCCTCCCTTTCCATGACGACTTTTTTCCCATTAAATCAAACACATCATGTTTCTTCATCTGCTTTGTGTTCTTCATAAAACTTCATCACTCTTTTGAGTTTCAGAAGAAAGGGAATTCCAGGGCATAAATCTTTGTGACATGCACCAACCTGACTTTTGATGGAAACTAAAACACTTGAAGGGTGTTTTTATTTTTTGTTTATGTGTTTATATTTTTTACATTTAACAGCAGCAATCATTCAAAATGGCCGTTCCCAGTCAAACACCAGCTGAATGGCAGCCCACTTCCCTGCAACTCCCAGCAAAATCTTTTCCAACTTCCAGCCACTGGCCTTCCCCTGGGCGTGCATTTTCATTTTCACTGAATTACAGGGTCTGAGTAGGAGATGGTGCTTCTCTTTAGATCCTAATGTCCACAAATCATGACAAAAAGGAATTGTAGGGGACCAACCAAGGGCCCATCAAGGAAAGTGGGGAAATTTTTAATGGCTACTATTTGATTCCTAATAATCTAGGTCAGTAGAAAAGCAACAAGCGGAATGTTAAGCTCTTAAAGTGGAAAAGTTTACTGCTGCAAGTAACATTTTTATAGAGGTCTGACTTTCTTATTCAGATTCTAATAAATGACACCCTTTTTTTCTGATAACACATACGGTAAAGAAGATAAAACTAACCTACCCTACAAAAAAAAAAAAAACGTGGATTTCACATGATTCCCATCTTCCACATGTGGCTCACATTTTCCACATATGATTAAGCCTTTTGTTCATGTATTGCATGTCCCATTCAACTGATGATCACACGTGGAAATTGGGATTGTATATTTTTCATATGTGCACCAAACATAAAGATTTTCTTCCACTTACTCTGCTGATGCCTAGGAAGGGGAGGGTTTGAAAGGTAGGCACTTGGAATGGTGACAAAAACAGCATAAACATTTGTTCATAAAGACAACTAAAGTGGTCAATGAGGTAATGAGAAGGTACAGTATAGATCACATCTAGGGCTGCAACAACGGTTTGCAAATCGATTAATCTGTCCATTATTTTTTTGATTAAGCGATTAATAGCAAGACAGTTTTTTTTTACTAAATTAAACCAGGTAAAACTAAAACTTCTGCACTTGAGGAGTTCTGATGGAGTATATTGACAGATGAAAAAGTTTTTTCTTTTCTTTCTTTATCTCAAATGCAAACTGTTTATACATTTTTTAAGTGGTTGCTATGTATCCTAAAGGTATATTTTACAGACTTCATACTCCCGAGGCAGTTGGTAATTCACTCATTCACTTACAGTATATGCTGATGATACAATCCTTTACGCCATGGGGTCCTCCCCTGAAGTTTTGGTTTTACTAAACAGCCAACACAAAATCCAGTTTCGTTAACTGGATTTTGTTTCTTTAAGACAATTTTTCTTTTAAAATCATCTTTCCCACTGCTTTAATTAGCAATAGAGATGTTTAAAAAAAGCCTGTTATCATGGATAGTACAAACGACTTTACCCAGGCTTACCCTTCTGCTTCCACTTTACCCTGTAACTCAGGAGATGAGCTGCAGACATCAATTGTTTCATTTAACCAGTTAAAGTGAGTTGTCTCTGGGAAGATTAAATCCCTGTGGAGAAATGCTCCATCAGTGAGAAATTAAAAGAGGGAGTGCCGAAAAGCTGAAAAAATGTGGCAAAAGAATGGACTCCAAGTTTACCATGAAATCTATAAAGACCAACTTTACTGATACAAATAAATGATGCAAGATAATATTTCTACTATGAGATTTTTAAGAAAAATGAACAATGCTTCCACCTTATTTGCCACAGGTTAACAAACCGTCCTATCTCAGTGGCTGATGAACTCTACTCTAAAAAGTCCTGCAATGACTTTGCAAAGTTTTTTACTGAGAAAATACAAAATATAAGAAAAGCAGTCTGTACATCAACGTCAACTCCACTACCCATATTGTCACCGGTTAAAATAAACTATGTTAAAAGGCCCCAATTCTGCCAAATAACCTGCAAAACTTTAGAAGAAACTGTTCAGCATCTAAGACCCTCTTCCTGCTGTCTTGATGTTTTACCCACAGGTTTTATTAAGCAGGTTTTGTCTGTTTTAGAGTCTGACTTGATTGAAATCATAAACACATCCCTCATGTGGGGTGTTTTCCAACGAGCCTTAAAAACAGCAATTATCAAACCATTGTTGAAAAGGGGACGCTTGGACAAATTGGCCCTCTCCAACCTCCCCTTCAAGAGCAAAATGTCAGACTTTTTATCACCTGAAGAACATCTCCAGGTTTAAAGGACTAATGTCCGAGCTGATCTAGAGAAACTCATTCATGCATTTATCTTTAGTAGAATTGATTACTGCAGGTTTGCCTTAAAAGTACGTCAGACAGGTAAAGCTGATCCAAAACTCTACTCACTAGATTTATGGGGCTGGTTACACTCCTGCAGCAGTGTGTCAGTGAGCTTGCCGCAGGTATGACGCAGATATTTTTGATTTATGCCCAATTTTGAAGATTGGTCAGCGCTATGTTATTCCACGCTACAACGCAAGAGGGACAATCATGAACCAGCTGTGTCTAGATGCGGCCGAGGCGTTGAGGCAGTGGAAAAATGCAAGGGGCAAGTTTGTGCAACAACGGAGGGACATGAAGGCAAAAAAGAGAGAGGGGATCCAGGTGCAAAAAGGGTCCCAGCGTTCTCACGCACCTCACTCTTCTAGCTGGTCCATCTTCACCAGTCTTTTTCCACAATGGCGGTTATACAACAAAAACTGAAATGTTTTAACTGTAACTATACAGTCATCACTTTTTTTCATCACAATGTTTTTTATCACGGCTGCTTACCCACACTTTAAAAAAAAAGGAAATAGTCTAGAGAGCTGTACCTAACAAAATGTCTTTTTGTTTACACTTGTGTACAAACTGACAAAATAAAATCTGTCTAAGTCTCTATACTGTAAGTCTTAAGAAAGCATAAAGCATCAGCCCGGTTCTGAAGTCCTTCCTCTGGCTCCCTGGAGCTCAGAGAATAGACTTTCAAATCTGTCTGTTAGTGTAGAAATCACTGAATGGATCAGCACCTTAAAGGAATAGTACACCCAAAACATGATTAGCCTTCATTTTCTACTC